TGTGTTTTTAGTGTGAATTTAATTTTCATTTCTAACACAAAGGAGTTCATCCCTAAGAATTAAAAATCTAAAGGGAAACATCAGACATGTTTATAGTTTATATATTTATATAGAAGGGCTTTTCAAACAGGATTCAGAACAAAGCTGGACAGAAATATGGGCCTGAAATCTGAGCCCAAAATGAGTTCCCCTTTTTTCTCCCACTGAATCTCTGAATTTCACACACACTGCAGCGGAATCGGCAAATTATACTACCACCATGAAACGGAAGGCCAAGATGATGCAAATGTGCCAGAAAGAAAAAATAAGGCAGAAGCAGCAATAAATCTCAGCCACAGAACCAGGCTGCCCCCTGGGGGAGGGGAGGAGCGCAGACAATGTACTCTCCTTCCAGGTTGGAGAAAAGGCAACTTTTAAAAGATCCATGCACATGAAACAGGGATTGTTGAGAAAAGAGTAACAGGCGTGGAAGGAAAGCTCAGTTAGCCTGATCCCTTTCTCCGCTGCAGAGTAGACTCGCTCAAAGCAAAAGGTGGTCCAGTATTAGCCTCCTCCATTAGCCGATGCTCCACCTTTGGGGAAAAACAGGACAAAAGAAGACAAGGGTCTCCCTTTACTCCCAAAGCAAGGTAGAAGTTTAGTCATTCTATGAGACCTCAGAGGACATGAGCAAAGTCAAGAAAAAAATCTTTCCCTTGCCTTCTTCAACAGTGGTCACAGTAGAAGCAGCAAAATTTTTTTTAGTAACAATGCATTTTTCTAGTTTTATTTTTAATTGACACATAATATCTGTGAATATTCATGGGGCACAGGGTGACAGTCTAATATTACATACACAACATATAACGAACAGATCAGGGCAATCAGCATATCATCACTCCAAATTTCTTTGAATTGGAAACATTTAAAATTCTCTTTTCTAGATATTTGAAAATACAAAATTGATTATAATTCTTGTAAACCACAGTTATCCTGCCATTCGGTATGACATTAAAAGTTATTCCCTTCTGAACCACAATCTGCAAGAGTAACCAGACACCCAAACTGTAGCAGGTCCTACCTGATTGGCCTGAACACAATACAATCACCTCTACTCCATTTGCCATACTGTCGGCCTTGCAGTGTTCAGAAAGCTGTGTCCCATCTTGATTTTTAAAGGAGAAAGAATGGGAACTGTGGACAAGTACCTACAAACTTTACTAAGTCAACATTGATGACATGTCAAGTAAATGACCTGGTACCTTTTCAATCCCTTTGGGTGATGAAAAGAACTTGAGGGTAAATAGGTACCATTACGTCAGCCCAAAACATTCAGTTTCTAAGATTTCTAATTTCATATGTTCCCTGAAAGGCAAAGCTTGGTATATTGCCCTTTTACATTCCTGTTCCCAAATCTACTTATATCAACTCATAACAAAATTAAGATTGTAGATAAAAATGTTGCTATGCCTTTAACTTGTGTTAATATGAGATTCAATGTAGATAGAAAAAAGATTTTCCAATGTAAATTGTGCATATGGAGAAATCAACAACATGAGGATAAGAAGGGTGTATATGTCAATATTTATATTTTTAATGAACTACAATTACAAAACATCCAAATATTCAATAATCATTAAATAAGTTTCATGTTGTAAAATCATTTTACATTTAGTTTACTTATAGATTAATTTTTAAAACTCAAATCTAGAATTAAAACAATTTTAGAAAAAAGTGTTATTACAGTGGTTTTAATTAAAAGATTAAATCAACTATATTTGTTAGTTACATGTATTAGTATTTGTCAATACTATAGACCTACAAATGAGCCATTGATATCACAGCACAAGAACCAGGCTGCCTCTCATTCATTCTCCACTAGGCTGTGCCATTGACCCCAATATCATTCTCGAACTGCAGACAATGTGCTATGTCTGTGACTCATTTTCACCTTGTTGTTAATTTTGTAGGGTTTATTAACATAGATGTAATATATATCATTCTATGCCCTAATGAAAGCATTCTGCATAATTACTAAAATATATGCTTTAGAGAAAAATTCAAGCCAAACAGTGTAAAGGTTTTTTAAAACCAGGCACTGTGACGAATATAAATGAAAAAACTTAAAATCAGCATACTACAGTGACATGCCCACATCAATATTTATAGCAGCTCAATTCACAATAGCTAAACTATGGAATCAACCAAGGTGCCCTTCAATAGATGAATGGATAAAGAAAATGTGGTACATTTATTCGATGAAATGTTATTCAGCTTTAAAGAAGAATTAAATTATGGCATTTGCTGGTAAATGGATGGAGTTTGAGAGCATCATGCTAAACAAAATAAGCCAATTCCAAAAATCCAAAGGCCAAATGTTTTCTTTGATATGCAGATGCTAATTCACAGCGAAGTGGGAGGGCACTAGGGAAGAATAGAGCTACTTTAGGTAGAGGGGCGTGAAAGGAGGGGAGGGGATATGGGGATAGGAAGGATAGTAGGATGAAACAAACATTATTACCTTATGGACATGTATGACTTCATGACTGATGTGATTCTACAACATGGACAATCAGGAAAATGAGAAATTATACCCCACTTATGTCTGATTTATATCAAAGTGCATAAATGCATTCTACTGTCATGCATAACTAACTAAAACAAATTAAAAATGTTAAAGTAGTCACTGTTCATTAAGACAGTTCATGAGGATAACATTTCAAACCATTATAAGAGTGACAAAAATATTGGGAAACATATAAATACTTTGCTCTCTGCTCTGAGGGCAATAATTTTAATAAGATTGAATAAGTTCTTAACTGCATCATTGTTTTCTAAGGCTATTCTAATACATCAAAGTTTTAGAACTTTTCAAAATTCATAATATCTTCGTATAAACATAAAAACTACAGGGATAATGTATCATTATCCCCTGAAAATAATACATTTCCTAAGAGACCTCTGTCCTGAACTCGTTCAAGATAGTGACAGAAAGTAGACCACATATCTTCTGCATAACACACAGGAAGAAAATTTTGTAAAGCACAATTTTCTAATTTTTTGTGGTTCTTGAAATTGAACTCAGGGTCTTGCACATGATGGGCAAATACTCTACCACTGAGTATTTGCCCCGTTCCAATTTTCTAATAATTTTGTTATAAATAACTCTTAGTTTAAATTATGGCATTTTTTTCTAACAGGATTGGACTACTATGGAAATAGTAATCTGTCTCATTAGAGAGGCTTGACCTGAACTCAGCCTCGCCACTCCAGGAAAATGTTCACTATTTTAACAGATCACGAGGGAAGTTTCCTTGTAGCTCACCCTATTTAAAATAAGACTTATCTACAGGTTCATGACATTTTTTCTAGTTAGCTGTTGAAGTCTTATAGATCATTTCTCTGCTATAGAAATCTTGCCCCATACATTATCACTATTGAAGCCCTAATATCAGTCTCACACCAAAACAACTTCCGGAAGCCCTCTCTGTTCCGTCACAGTCCTCCTTTCTTTCCTTCCCATTTTCCCCCCAACAGGAATCATATTGGGATCAAGTACTGGGCTCTGCGTCTTCAGCTTTATGCCCTTAAGCAAGTAACTTAATCATTTCTTCCTCTGGAAATGGTTTAATAGGATTTTTAAAGAATAGAGTATGATATGGTCACCAAATCAAAGTATTCTTCTGAGAGAAAAAGAAGTCAAAATTACACATTGAGAAGAACAAATCCCAATAGGGCAAAATTCATCCCATATATTTTTATTTGTGTTTTTTAAAGAAGGAAAATAGAAATTTCATTGAAAAGGGCAGAAACAAAAAAATCTTGACATTACACATGATACTGTAATCTAAGCCAGGAGAGAATCATTGTGCAATTTTAAAACAAAAAGACACAATCCACAGAAACAAGGAAAATAGGTGAGAATTTCATTTCTCTTTATGAATAAATACAATCAAGCTGTGTATTTTCATTATGGGTAGGTTTGGCTCATCCAGCCTCACACAACCATAAGAATAGATCCTTAGTCAAGTAAAGCACACAGATCCATCATAGTTGTACAGATAAAATTCCAAAATAGGAAACATCACCAAAAGAATGCTGAGAAAAGCTGAGCATGGTAGTGCATGCCTCCCAGCAGCTCAGGAAACTGAAGCAGTCAGTCTCAAGTTCAAAGCCAGTCTCAGCAACAATGAGGCTCCAAGCCTTAAAGTTCTTAACTACATCATTATTTTCTAAGGCTATTCTAATAAACCAAAGTTTTAGAACTTTTCAAAATCCATGATACCTTCATATAAACATAAAAACTTCAGGGATAATCTATCATTATTCCCTGAAAATAATACAATTCCTAAAGACCTCTGACCTGAATTGTTCAAGATAATGACAGAAAGTGAGACAGTGAGACCCTGTCTCTAAATAAAATATAAAATAGAGTTGGGAATGTAGCTCAGTGGTTGAGTGCCCCAGTATCAAAAAAAAAAAAAAGGCTGAGAAAGTGGCAAATTTTTTCAACATTGATCTTGTTCATGATTTTTGTCATCCCTTCTGTTTCCATATAGTTACAGATAATAAAACTCTTGAAACAGAAAAGAGTTTTAATTGTTTCAGAAAAAAATATATGAACTTGTCAGAAAATACACAAATCTTGGCTCTCCCTATGTGGAACAAAAAAAGATATTTTTTAAAAAATAAGAAGAAAAGAAAAAATATACAAGAGAAAAATAGGAGGCAATATTACGTTTAGGTTGGAAAATATATCCGGCCTGTGTCTCAACCTAGTAAGGGAAATATGGACCACATTGAAGCTATCATGAGACTCAGAATGAGTTTCAGTTCCAAGACTAGGTCCACACAATAGTACATGATGAGAAAATGAAAAATACTAAAGTAGAAGTCCTTTCCATACTATAGAAAGAAAGATGAAGAGAAGAAAAGAAATAGACAAAAATTGAGCTGGAGGACCAGGAGGGGGAGAAAAGACACATAAATGGGGACAGATACAATACAGCCCCACTATTCACTCAGTTTAATCTGTTCAGGGTTCTCTTCAGAGCAAGCTTGACGTCCTTGTTCCTAAGGCTATAAATGAGGGGATTCAGCATGGGCACCACAAGAGTATTAAACACTGAAAACACCAGGAAAAATATACGCTGGCCAAAAGACCCTGAAGATGATGGTTTAACATGAGTGAGCAGCCCAGATCCATAGAACAGGCCAACAGTTACTATGTGAGAACCACAGGTGCTCATGGCTTTGGACCAACCCTTAGCTGAAGACATATGAATGATATTGTAAAGAATCAAGGCATAGGAGATGAAGATAACAAGGCTAGACACAATAACAACAGTTGCCACAACAACAGAACTCACAAGCTCATTGGCATAGGTGTTGCTACAGGAAAGCTGAAGAAGGGGGAAAATCTCACACATATAATGGTTAATGAGGTTAGAATCACAAAAGCTGAGCCTGATCATGCACCCTGTGTGCACCATGGCACCAGCAAACCCCATCAAGTAAGAACCCAACATCAGCAGAGAACAGACCCTAGGGGACATGACCACCCTGTACAGCAGAGGCTGACAGATGGCCACATAGCGATCATAGGCCATGGCTGTCAGCACATAGCACTSKGAGTTCACAAAAAAGCAGWRGAAAAATARCTGAGTCATGCATYCTGCAAAGGAGRTGATGTTCCTCTCTGAAACAAAGCTCATCAGCATTTTAGGAGTAAAGACAGATGAATAACAGAAGTCAATGAAGGACAGATTGAAGAGGAAAAAGTACATGGGGGTGTGAAGGTGTGAATTCAAGCAAATTAGATGAATTAAGCTTAAGTTTCCCACCACAGTGATGGCATAGTTCACCAAGAACAGGAAGAACAGGGGCAGCTGCAGCTCAGGTTGGTCTGTTAATCCCATAAGGATGAACTCTGTCACAGAGGAGTCATTTTCCATAGCCATTGGCTTCAAGGATGAGACCTGTAGAAGAATAGAAGTTGATGCTAAAAATGAACCCTTACTATTTAACCCCAGAAGGAGATCTAGAAATGCTGGTTTCCAAGCTCAAGTTTTTCTGAAGACACACAGCAAAGCCTCCAAAACACAAGATTTTTCTATGCTGATCCTTGAAAATTTCCCATTTCCTTTTTTTGTCTATGTCCAGGAATAATGCTAACTGACCTCCTAGCGCCTCTGAAGAGCATTTCTTTCTGTCCCTTCACTCAATCTTCACTCTGGCTGAATAGCAATAAATAATTGGTATTCTTCAAACCCATGCTTTATATAGCTTTGTGCTTGAAGGGAAACTTTTACAAAAAGATGGTTCAGTGCTCACCTCGTTTCCCTGGAGGCCTCACTAATGCTGAGCATCAAGGGCCTTCCTACCCACTGTCCTAAGAGAACAAATTTCTCATGATGAGTGAGATAATAGCAATCAGCTTAGATCTGTCTCCCACATGCTAGCAGAGCAACTCTCAAAAATATACTGAAATTTCTATTTGAAAATATCTCCAGAAGTTTCTCTTCACTTGCAAATGGAAAATAAAAACTTCACATGAGCACCTCCAAAACATAACCTCACTCACATGGGAATCTATCTCATGTCCCCTAGAAAGTTAATTAGAAGCACAGAGAATTATGCTCTCCTTTACAATTTCTTCCCAAGTTGGATGAGCACCTTGAGGTTAGAAATTAATGAGCCGGCATTGGGTCTTTTGAGATTCAAAGGGAATACTCAATTTGTAATTTCCCACTAGGAATTCCTGATCCCCAGGGCAAAGTAGGGTGTGGTCTCCATGGCCATTCCCCTCATCATCCAATGCAGAGCTCTACAGGAGGACTATCCAGGGTATAGTCACTTGCCAGTTCCAGCATATTCCTTCAGGCTAAAGGATTGCATTAATAAATTTTAGACCATAGATTTAAAACTCTACATACTTTGGAGTTCATACTAATGAAGAATGTTGTAGCAGAAAGTCTCAAAGAATAGGGGTAAGTTCTTTCAGTCTGAAGTTAAATACAGACTTTGAATGTCCTAACAAAGAGACTTGCAACAAATGATAGAACTTTTCTGACTTCTTGTTTATTCAAATACAACTATAAATGCCTATGTTTGTCCATATAATGAGGTCCATAAAATGCTATCTTATAGAGTTGTTGGAATAACATGATTCTGGCAAACCGTTAGCTTCTTGCCTGGCATATAAAAAGACCTGATAGTACCACTTACATATTCCTCTGTGCCACACACATGGGTTTCTTAAGCCTGGCACTACTGATATTTGAAGGAGGTAGGCTTAGCTGTAGGGCTGTTGAATGCACCACATCCTTGGCACTTATCAGATGATAAGATGATAGCCCTTTCCTGTGTACATATGCAAATAAAATACTAGTGTGATCATCAAATTTTTCTATAGATACTGTGAAATGTCCCTGGGGTAGTCTAGAAGTTCTGAAAACAATACTCCAATGGCACTTTTGCATGCAGAGTAATTTGAACTGAAAGACATTTGAAGTGTTCAGAATGAAGTTTATTTCTGACCTTGTCTCACTTCTTTTCCTATTTTCATTAATCCCCCAAGACAGGTCACAGAAAATAACAATTACTTTCCTCAAAGTAGGCAGGTTGAGAAATTAGAACCCCTCTCCCCAAAGTAAGCCATGAAGCCTAGAAATGTAATTCCAATCTTTTCTCACCTTTCTTTGTAGGAGCTGCACATAAAGTAATTCTCTGATCTTCCTGGTGTGAGGGAAGACCATAAGACCCTTCCTTATGCCACAAATTTCCACCTCCATGTTCAGGAGGAGGGAATGCCACATAGAGACTAAGAAATAGAACACACAACCTTCCTGAGATTCTTCTTTTATTCAAGTATATTATATGTAATCTTTTTTGCCAATCACATTTCTACATGGCTGTCCATTCTTCATCAAACCTAACCATAAATACAGCAAATCCAAGTCAAATCTCCTCAGGGCAACCTGTGCCAGAAGACCCAGGGAGCTGATAGTACCAGGACATAAATGGTTTCATATTAACCAGGCAGGGTTTAGTCTTACTGTGGGGCTGTGTCTCTCTCCCAACATTTGTATTGCTTGCTTCTGCTTGGTTTTAATCTTATATGCGCTCTCCAATGCAGTGAAAAGAGATCCAACAGAATTGCTATCAATTGTACCATCAAGGAGAAAATGAAAGATTTTTTTTTAAATAATTTTCTTCAAAGATTATGGTAAAATGACTATTATCAACATATACTTGTCCTCAAGGTTTGGCATGTGCTAATCAGACAGGATTATACTATGTACATCGTGAAAATAGTCTATCACAATCATACATTGTGCGTTGCCTGTACAGAAATGGTTCATTCAAAAAATAAAACAGTAACAACAAATAGCATGCTATGTATTTCCAACACAGGTTATTTAAAAGAAAAATGGTTATGTAGATATTGCAAAGAAAAACAGCAAAAAGTTAAAATACATGAAAAAATGCAAAGATTTATAAACTAGAGAAAATTTTTATTTTTGTTGGAGTTTGACAAATGATGCCATGATCTCTGAATGATTTCATTAAGTACGTCGCTGATTATTTGACAAGCATCTCTTGTCTCATGATGTAGGACCTTTGTCCTGTACTTTGACCTTAGTGGTCCCATGTAAGAGGGAAACTGTCAATTTATGGATTAATATCTCAAGACCCCTTTTTAGACAATATTAAGCAATGGAAGTTCTTTGAAAAATCATCTCTTAGGCCAGAAAACTAAAAAACATTAATAAAAGCACTAAAAAACATTAATAAAAGCAAAGCCATCCTGTCTGCATAATACATGTGAACTACTAAGCACAGTCTCTTTAGTTCTATCTTCTTTATCCAACCAACAAGCCCAGCTTTGTAAAAAGCAGTCCTGTCAGATCTGCCTAAAGAGGGTCTAACAGCTGGTGTCCTGCTTATGTAAATCACAGTTAATCCCCATGTGGGTAGACTGTTTAACCCATATGTCCTAACATCTTTAGAGTGTAAAAACTTGGAACATAGTATACAAGAATTAATGTCATTCTTCCAATTATGAACATCCATACATAATTAAATGTACTTTGTAAACAAGATAAATTATTATATGTGATATATTATATATCATTATATTAATAAGCAGTTTTCATCAAAATAAAAATAAAAATAAAAACCTTCAAAAACTGACAATCTTATACATATCCTATATCAACATCACTAAACCTTAAATTTGTCTTGAAACGGAGGTTGAATAAAGCAGATTTGCCTTTATCCTTGTTCACACTACTTAAAATGGCTACAAACCATATGTAAGGTTGATTAATACTTTCATAACTTTGTGACTTAACAAGCAAAATTTAGTTATTAAGATAACAATCAAGATTTACAGCATTATATCCAGACTATTAGATTTTGTAAGTTTTATAGGTTTTGTATCAATAACACATAACACTTCATTGTAAAACTGGTAGCTCATGTAACCAGAATTGAAAACCAAAATAATCTTTTTAACAAATAAAAGCTTGAATAAACCTGATTTCTTCTAGGACTTAATTTTGTTTTAAGCAATAAAAAAGAAAGAAAGAAAAGAAAAATCAGCAGAAAACATAGGAACTCGTCTTTATAAAACATGAAATCTTTATTATTTAAGTCCATTCTTTGTAAATTTTGCTAAGAACTCATCAATCATTGTCCATTGGGTTTCATTTATTAATGCATTTTTAAAGTTGTTTTAAGTTCCTATAGAATTTAAGCATTGCTAGACTTTTAACATCAGGCATGGCACAAGATCCACAGCAAGGCTTTGAGGGACATTTTTAAAAGGCAATGAAGCACCTCTCTGATTAGAATACTAAAATTCAAGCAGGTTTTACAGAAAATACAAAGCCATACATGGAATTATTTGAGTCGTTCTATAAGAAAGACTATAAAAGCTCATTTTTAACTCTAGGTTAGTTTACAGAAAATTATATAGTTTTTATTTATTTTTACTGAAGGTAATTAACATTAATTTTATTTTATTGTTTACTATTTATTTAATTACTTACCTACTTCTTATTACTGGGGTACTGGTGATTGGATCCAGGAATGTTCTACCATTCAACTATATCCCCAGCACATTCAACTCTTGTATTTTGAAACAGGGTTTCGGAAAATGGCTGAAGCTGGCCTTGAATTTCCTCCTGCCTCTACCTCCCAAGTGCCTAGGATTACAGGTGGGTGTCAAAGACCTGTGCTCCTTGGGCACATGAAACATAATCTCCACCAACAGTCCAGAGTTCTTTTGCCCACAGTGGGCTCCGTTCCTTCTCCTGTGACTGCTCTACCTGACATCCAGGTGGCGAGGCACCTCTTTCTGCTATTATAATGGAGCAGGGAATTCACTTCATCTCATCCTCTTACTCCTGCCAAACACATGGTACACTGTCATATCAGATATCCTTATTCTTGACCTCTCAGGACACCCAAAGAGAAACCTCAAATGTACAAGGTCCAAGCTGACGATTCTGGGCACACACGATGCTTTTCTGTGCCCCACTTGCCATTCTGTCGGCCATGCTATATAGTTAAATAGCTCTGTTCTGGACTGTATTCATGAGGGACAAAGATTGAGGACTGTGTAGAAGTACCTAAAAACCTTTCATTAATAAGCCAATATTCACATGTCTTTAACCTGTGTTAATACAGCATTCAATATCAGTGGAACGAAGATTTTACATTTGAAATTGCCAATATGAAAAAACAGTAGGAGAAGAAAGTAGTACATGGCAATATAAATATGTTTAATCGACAACACATACAAAACATCTAAATATTTAATAATTATCAAATAAACATACATGTTCTAAAATTAGTCTATGTTAAATTTACATATTATATTAATTCATAAAACTTACCTTGAATTTAAGTAATTTAGGTATAGATATTGCTAAATTAGGGGGGGCTGTTTTTATTTTTATTTTTGTTTTTGTTTTGG